GGCGCGGGGCCAGGAACGGGGCCGAGCGCGGGAAGGGTACGGGCCGATCGCGGGGCTAGGAACGGGGCCGAGCGTGAGGCTAGGTACGGGCCGATCGCGGGGCTAGGAACGGGCCGGGCGCGGGCGACGGGGCCGACGGGGCCAGCGGGGCCGAGGGGCCGAGCTAGGGGCGACGGGCCAAGGGGCCGAGCGCGGGCTAAGTACGGGCCGGGCGCGGGGCGACGGAGTCGACGGGGCCAAGGGGCCGAGGCGACGGGGCCAAGGGGCCGAGCCTAGGGGCTAGGGGCGACGCCAAGGGGCGACGGGCCGGGGCCTAGGCTAGTAGGGCAGTAGGTGGTGGGCCCATTAAGATTAGGTCCTAGGAAATTTTTGCTCTTAATACCATGTTAGAATAAGTGACGAGAATGATTGACTAGGAAAAGGGAAGGGGTACAAGTAGGATGTCGAGAGAAATCTGTACCCCCTAAGGCTAAACCCACTATAGCCTAGACAACTATAAACACATAAACTAAGCCTAGATGTAACTAAGCATATATGTTTGACACAGGTGTGACACATGCGGCAGACGGGACCTCAACAGTGACTAATCAAGTGGCAGAGTCGATCTTCGGAGTGACCAAGATACGCACATGGAGAGAGTGGGGTGCAGCCTTACGAGATCGCTTTGAGCATGTATCTGCCTCAGAGCAAGCTCGCATGAAGCTGCGTGCCTGGTCGCAGATGGCATCTGTCCAAGACTACACAGCGTCATTTATGGGCCTCGCCGACCAAGTGGATGACATGTCGGAAGCGGAACGGTTGGATAAATACATCAGTGGCCTAAAATATGAGATACAGTACGAAGTCCGCAGGAGCCGCCCGACAACATTCCTGGAAGCAGTACGGCTGGCAGAATCCATTGATGCGCTGATGCAGTATGCGAGAACGGCTTCCCGGGAGGGAATCCGTCTTCGTGGCCAGACCCATCGGGCCACAATCAACGTCGTCCATACACCCGACCGCCCTCCTAAGGGACCGTGTTATCAGTGTGGGAAGATGGGTCACTTAATGCGCGACTGCCACGAGAAAACGCCGCTGACGGGGAACGACAGGAAGGAGCAGGGAAATGGGAAAAGTAGGTAATTAGCGGGCCCTTTACTGACTGTGCTCCGTCGCCCGAACACCACCATCCCCACCGAGTCGTGGTTCCGATTCATGCAATCGATCGCACTCGGCCGAATAACGGGGATACTCATGTGGATCACCCTGTGCTGGTCGCTGGCAAGGTGTTAAAATATAACTTAAAAATGTTTGTCGACGGAGGGGCCAGCCATAGCCTCTTCAACTTGGCGACAGCAAAAAAATGCAAGCTGCAACTTGACAGGTGTCTGCCCGAAATCGACACTCGCCTCGTGGATGGGACGCCTCTGGCGATATTGGAAGAAACACGGACGGTTCGGATTGAATGCGGCGACGATTTCGGTTTCAGCATGAAATTCCTCGCGACGACACTGGATGGCTGCGACGTGCTGTTGGGACGTGATTGGCTGCGACGGCACAACCCCGTCATCGACTGGACAACGGGATCGTGCTGCATCAGCAAGCACGAGGGGCAAATTAAGCTGTCTGCATGGACACTTGACTACATCCAAGCCCCGTGCGTCAAAGCTGTCACTATAGCTCGACACTTCAACAAGGGCACACAGCTGTTCGCTGTTTGCTTACGCGAGTTGACGGTGGACACCGACGGAAAGGACATCGAGAAGCTGTGTGCAGCTGTACCACTGGACTTAGCGGAGCTGATTCGACAGTACCCCGACATTTTCCCCGACGACCTGCCACCTGGACTACCACCCGAGCGACCTGAGGACCACAAAATCCAGCTGGAGCCTGGCGCGCAGCCGACTGTTCGGACACAATGGCGGTTGACCCAACCGGAACTTGAGGAGTTGCGAAGTCAAATCGACGCACTGTTGGAGAAAGGGTTCATCCGAGCCAGTACATCTCCCTTCGCAGCGCCGATCCTCTTCACTCCGAAAAAAAGATCGTGCGCTAAACCGGGTGACAATAAAGTCTCGCTACCCAATCCCACGCACCGATGACCTCCTCGATCAACTTCGCGGAGCTCGTTATTTCTCGAAGATTGACTTACAAGGCGGTTACCACCAAATCCGAGTCTTCGCCGACGACTGCCACAAGACTGCATTTCGCACCCGCTACGGAAGTTACGAGTTCACCGTGATGCCTTTCGGCCTCACGAACGCGCCCTCCACTTTTCAATTAACCATGAACAGGATTTTTCAGGACCTGCTCGACCGATGCGTCATCGTCTACTTGGACGATATCCTGATTGTTAGCAAGATACGGGAGCACCACCTCCGTGACCTCGATGCAGTCTTTAAACGGTTGCAGGAGAATTGCCTCATCACCAAGGGCTCTAAGTGCGATTTTTTTAAGCAAGAGTTGGAGTTTTTGGGACACGTTGTCTCACGCGACGACATTAAAATCGACCCGGCGAAAATCAAGACCATACAGGAGTGGAAGTCCCCGACGAATATCACGGAGCTGTAGAGTTTTCTGGGGTTCGTGAATTACGTCCGGCGGTTTATCCCGAATATGGCGGGGATAACCGGCCCGCTAACCGACCTGCTGCACAAGGACGTGAATTTTGTGTGGGGGGAGGAGGCAGAAGCGGCTTTCCAGGAGTTCAAAAATATCCTGGTTTCCCCTCCTGTGCTGCGCATCGCCGACCCATCGAAGCCGTTCGAAGTTGTCACCGACGCCTCTGATTTCGCGATCGGAGCAGTGCTACTCCAGGATTTCGGGAACGGACTGCAGCCGATAGCTTACGAGTCACGCAAGCTGCAAGCAGCCGAACGCAACTACCCGATTCACGACAAAGAAATGCTCGCCATTATCCATGCATTCAAACTGTGGCGATGCTACCTGGTGGGCGCCGACGTCACTGTTCGCACGGACCACAAGTCCCTCCAATATCTGCGAGCCCAACCCAACCTCAACCCGCGACAAATTCGGTGGCTGGATTACATGGAAAGCCACTTCACCTATCGCATCACGTACAAGAAAGGGGCAAATAACATTGCCGACGCCCTGACCCGACCGACAGTACAATCCGCTGCAGTACTCATTCACCATTCGAACCCGTTACTTACCGGACTCTTCACGCACCGCTACACTACGGACCCACTCTTCACGACTGAGAACCACCAGCAAGCCACGACACAGAAAGGCGATTACTACCTAAAAGCCGGAACTGACCGGATTTGGGTTCCCGCTTACCGGCTGCTGCGTGAACTACTTATCCAAGAGGTCCACGATTCAAACTTCTCCGGACATTTCGGGGTTGATAAAACCCAGAAATTACTGCACCGTCACTATTATTGGCCTGACTCCTCTAACGACGTGCAGCGATATGTGTCCTCATGCAGGGTGTGCCAGGCCATGAAATCGACACGTCAACAGCCAGCTGGACTGCTGCAACCCCTCGAGCCACCCGAACGACCGTGGCAACAAGTGACAATGGATTTTGTCACAGGGATGCCAGCTGGACCGTCCGGCAACGACGCCGTTCTCGTCGTCGTCGATCGCCCCACGAAAATGGCGCACTTTGCACCGTGTCGTACGACAATCACAGCCGAAGAAACCGCGCGTCTATTCATCTCAACGGTCGTGCGACTGCACGGAATTCCATCGGCGATCATCAGCGACCGGGACCCGAAGTTCACGTCAAAAATTTGGAAGGAGACGTGGGCACAGTACGGCACGAAACTACAATTCTCCTCCGCATACCACCCACAGACGGATGGCCAGACCGAGCGGACCAATCAGACAATGGAGCAGCTGATACGGACCAACTGCTCCGATCCTACTCGCTGGGAAGACTCGCTCGCCATGTTGGAGTTCGCCTTCAACAATGCCCCGTCCAGCACGACTAATCACTCCCTGTTTTTTTTGAATTACGGGATGGACCCGATGGTGCCTACCATGACTACACTCGACAATCCGGTCCCACGGTCACAAACATTCGTGACGGAACTACAGGAAGTCCGTGAAAAGGCTGCAAACGCAATTCGCAAGGCGAATACCACTTCCCGAAAATACGCCGACCTTTTACGACGGGAACTCGTCTTGACAGCTGGGCAATTAGTCCTCCTCGACACGAAGAACCTGCGCTTGCCAGGCCCATCGAAATTGCGGCCACGATTCTGCGGACCTTTCAAAATTATCAAGATGGTGACACCTGTCACCGCGAAGCTGCTACTACCCGACGACTGGCGCATTCACGATGCCTTCCATGTCAGCTTACTTCGCAAGTTCGTGCCAGCTACGACCGACATCGCTCGGCAACAAGCTGCACCAACGGCACGCCCGGTGCCCGAACCGACCCTTGACCTGTCCAAGATCTTGGCGCATCGTGTTCGCCTGGATGCCGCCGGCCGCCACGTGGATTTTTTAATCCGCTGGACTGACCGCACCAGTGAGGACGACACGTGGGTACCATCCGCTTCGCTTGCGGACTCTTCGCTTGTTGTTAATTATCTCGCCCGCAATCGTGCCGCGGATATTGACCACCTTGCTTAAGGGGGGGGGGGGGTAGTGTAAGGAATTTTCCCGAATTCCTTAACAGGGTTGACTGCTTCGCGTACAGCCCCGATTTTCGGACTCTGCACGTTTGGCCGACATCAACGATGCCGAGCCTCCTCGCGTCGCCTTCGGCTTTTCCCTTCGCCAAACCTGCACCCAACCTCACTCACCCGAAGTTCCCTCCTAGCTAGCCTACTCACTATATAAGAATGTACCTTCATTTTATAATCAGTCTGTTCAATCACTTCTCGTTATTCGTTAAACTGCGCACTCTCTTTTACAACTCATAACACTGGAGGACTTCACCTTCTATTCGCGCTGACTGACAGACGTGTTGATTTTGGTCGCGCAATTTCAACACCTGGTTGGTGTCTCTCTATCCGAACCTCGGAAAATGGCATGCATCACCCGAACCTATGGAACTACCCAATGAATGCACGAGTTGCCGATTTTCATTCAACGAGACAGTGCACGCGGCTTTGACCCTCTTGTCACCATTCATGACTCATCTCGTTTCTTCAACCGATGCCAAACCTCGTAGTTTTGACTCTCCTATAACTAGACATTGACTCTCCTACCATTTCACTCGCTCGCCATCAGCTTCCTTATCCTCCTCGACTTTCACTCACCTAAGTACCAGGATCTACAACACCTGTTTCAGAAAGCTAGAGCAGTTAACTTTCGCCATTTCGTCGATCGTAGCACGATACCAGCCATGGCAGTCAGAGCGCTCGTCCTCGCGTGCGTGCTCCTCCTCGTGTCGACGTCCGCCTTGGCGCAGCGTGGTCCGCCTGGCGGAGGTCCTCCCGGCGGTCAGCGCGGAGGTCCTGGCGCCGGTTACGGCGGCCCTGGCGGTCCCGGTGGTCCCGGCGGTCCCGGTGGTCGCGACGGTCCCGGCGGGCCTGGCGGACCGCGCGGTCCTCCGCTGAACCTCACCGCCGTCGGGAATTTGACGGCCGATATCGGCGCGCGGCTCGACAACTGCACGGTGGATCAGAAGACCCTCAACGGCAGCTTCCACCTCGCCGTCTTCAAGAACTCCACCGGAAATTACAATCTTCTGGTCGAGGCGATGCTGGTGGACGCGGCGGGCGGTCCACCCGACTCGATCGCGATCGTGAAGGGCGCCGTGTGCGACGCCGCCGCGACGGACGTGCTCGCGCTGCCGCTCGCCGCGGCGGACTGGCAGCAGCGCGCGGGGTGGTGGCTGCTGCACGCGGAGGCGCGCCTCGACGCGTTCCTCGAGAACGCGGACGCCGCCACCCTCGACGCGCTGCTCGCCGTGCTCCCCACCGCCTCGCCTCCGCCCACCAGCGGCGGCGGGCGCAACGGCGGAGGCAGCGCGGGGGGCGCGCGGAACGGGCAGGGCGGGAGGCGCATGGGGCGGGAGCTGCTGACGCACGCATTCGGGCGCGCTGCCAGGCAGGGGGGACAGAAGCAGGGGGGACAGAAGCAGCAGGGGGGAGCGCAGCAGGCGCCTGCAGTGAGCGGGTATGCTGTGCTGGCGGGCAGCAGCGCAGCAGGTGTGACGTGGGGCGGGCAGCTCATGGGCGCCAAGATGCTCGCTGCTGCTGTTTAAAGCCACACTGCCACGCTGCTGCTGCTTGATGCACCGCTGCCGTGCTGCTGCTGTTGCTTGGTAAGGCGATGGTTTGACAGTCATTGCTGGTGCTGCTCCACTGGATGGGAGGGGCTGAATTCAGCCTGTTGTTAAGCAGTAGTCGTAGTTCTGATGGGCTTGAGGGCATTTTAGCTGTGTGTGTCTGCAGAGGCGTGATCGGATCTCATCTGGTTCATGCTGGAGTAGCTATAAAATACCGGTGAAAGCATCAGGGGCAGGAATGCTGGCAAGGCATAGGGAACACCACCACCTGACTTTGTCAGTCTTCCTACCCCTGATTGTTGTTTTGAGCGTACTCTGTGATTGGGGTCTATTTGTGATTTCCCTGTGTCATGCAATACTCAGTGATTGGAGTCTATTTGTGTTGTTTTTATTATGTGTTAGCCTTTGTGTCAGACCAGTTTCTAGAAAGCACTAACCTCCACATGAAGTGTCTCTTCGGAGTTCCAATCCAAGCTGAAAGTTTGCTCTGTTGAAAAGGAGTAAGCAGAAAACACAAACGAATTGGAATGGGATGTGTGTGCGGCATTGGCCGCAGTGGCTCGACTCTCATGTCGCGTCGCGTTTCAAGGCTCGAACTAACTTCGGAAAGCTCGGGTGCTAGCTTCGAAATGCGCCGTTTTTCCGCACCCGTTTTTGTCTCACTTGCTGACACTGGCAGTTTCAGGCCTCGTTCAGAAGGCACGTAACATTCACGAAATACAACCTAGCAGTTAGGTCGTCAGCAGCGAGACACATAATTCCGATACCGTAGTAGGCATTGATATAGCGATTCTAGCAAGGGTGATACGTCGTGTGCTTGATCCCAGCCCGCCGCGGTCCTGATCGTGTATCCGATTAGCTTGTAGCGGGAAACCGAGAGTCGAAGATGACGCAGCGGATGGCACCAGTGCGATTCAAGCGGGCGAATGGCGCGGATGGCGGAAGCGGAAGCGAATGAGGAGGGGGAGCGGTTATTGGCGGAGAGATGGCAGGCGGCGGAGGGTGCCGCGGGGAAGACTGGCGGAGGAGTTGGGGAGGGGAGACGTGTATTGGCGACGAAGCAGTATCGCGGATGCGCATCAGTGGAATGACGAGCAGATAGACGAACGGCCTTTTGGAAAACGGAGCTTATAAAGGGACGAGCAATGGCGAGTACGGGGAAGGGCAGGAGACTGTAAAGGGCGGGAGAAGCTTTGTGCGGATAAGGGAGGGGATGGCGCCAGCAGAAGGCACAGAGAAGGGCGTGCCACGTGGCGTGGTGATATTGGTCGTCGTGTTCATGGACCTGTTTGCAGTTGGCATGGCCATGCCGCTCGTTATGCCGCTAATCAAGGAGCTAGGTAAGCTAATTATTTTGAAATTCGAGGGTTGCTCTGCTGGCAGAATCTATCCATTGGGCTTTCCGAAATGTTGAGCATTGAAGAAGGCCAACAATCCAACGATTGTTCTTCCTTTGCATCTACTGTCTCTCCCGCCCCTCCCACTGCCCCTCCCCCTTCCCTGCCCCTACCCCACGCCACCCTCCCCTCCTCCCCCTGTCCCGTCGCCCTGTCCCCTGCGCCACCCTCTATTGCCGCTCAACCTGCGCTACTCCCCTCTGCTCTTAACCCTCAGTACCGGGTGTGATGCCTCTGAACCCTCTGTCCGCGTTAGTAGGGTCCCCTTTAATGGTCGGCTTCCTCTCGTCCACATACGGCGCTGTGCAACTCTTTACCGGGCCAATCTTCGTATCACGGTGAGAGAAGGGAAGAAGAGAGGGGGGGTAGGAGGGGGGGGGAGGGGTGAAGTGGGAAAGGGTCCGATGTCGGGATGGCATTCCATCTGCTTGCGGCTGCTTCCTCTGGCGTTAGAACTTCTCCCCATGGGCCAACCGCAGGGCCAGGACTCCCCGAGCCAGTTGCTGGAGCTGTTGTGTTTTCTCCGGTATCTGGTTCTGCAGTTGCTGACTTCCCACTATCCTCCTCTTCTTCCATTGTTGCAGGTCCAGTACCCCATGGTTTGGAGGTCGAGGCAGTTGGGACAGTGCGCAGTCGTAGAAGACCATCGGAGGCGGGCCGTTCAAGATCCATCTCTTCTGGGTGTGACCAAACCATCGGATCCGTGGGAGTTTTTTTCAACAGAAGCGTTCGTTCAGAATCGCCAATGGTGCCTTGAGCCGAGAACTTTAAAACGAAGACCCCGTCATCATCGTCAGCTTTGCCGATGTAAGTATTTTTATAATAAAGTTCGAAGGTCTTGTCCTTGCAGTTGCTGCGAATGTCAACTCCACACCGCATGAGCTGTGCTGAAGAGAGTAGGTTGTATTGAATATCAGGAGCAACCAGCACGTCGCCGATGTGAATAGTGAAGTGAGTGTCGTCGGCCTCAAAGCAAACTTCTCCGATGTCATAGGCTTTGAGACGTCCGTTGTTGGTGACGGTAATTTTGCACGGCCGTCGCATGTGCCTTGAGTTTTTAATAAATATTGGAGATCCCACCATGTGTTGCCCGCAGCAGCTGTCAAGATACCAGGTGCTGATGCTCTCGCGATTGTGTCGCGCAATCCCAGGGATCTTTGGAGTGACGACGTGGTCAGAATCCCCGAGAGGTCGATGTATCGCCTTGCGGAAATGCTGGGAGGGGACTCCGGTGACGGTGGAGGCAACTCAAAATCAGGTGGGATATTTTTTGGACGATTAATCCAGCTATGAATGGTAGGATCATTGTCTGGACTGGGCGCGATGGGGTTAATGGGCGCAATAGGTGGGAATTCGGTGCCGTCATTGTATCGGATGCCTCTGCGACGGGGCGCCATGCAGCTCATGATTGACCCCTTGCATTTGTTTTTGGTTGAAATGCGTGCAGGAGTTTGTGAAGTGCTCGCGACGGAAGGCGGCGACAAGGTGGCTGTTGCAGCAGGGGATGTCGAGGGTGCTGAGGACTGCTGGCCAGAGGAGTTGTTGCGTCTCTCGTCGGCGGCCTTTCGCTTGTAGCACCGATCGATAGTGTGGCCGGGTTTCTTGCAGTATTTGCAGAATGCCCCTTTCTTTCCATGCTGCTCCCCTTAAGCCGCTCCAGTGAATAACACTAATTTCTCCCGTTTGTTGTTCTTCTCATTGTACAGATCGATCTCCTTCTGCTCGGAGAGAAGTGTGGCGCACAGGGCGGACTCGGGAATAGTTGCTCGAGCGCGGAGCAACGACCGACACTGACGCCAGTCGGGTCCAAGGCCGGAGAGAACCATGGAGACGAACATGTCGTCGGGAACGGTTCCGCCGCACTTCTTAATGTGGTTGCATAGATTGCGGCACCGGTTGATATACGGTCCCGCTTTCTCCCCTTGTTGCATTTTAGCCGATGTCAATTGGCTGAGTAGGCGACTCATTGTAACGGGATCTGTTGCCATTTATGAGTTTTTCAGGTGCTCCCAAGATGCATACGCAGGTGCCCACTCTGACTTGTAGGAACGAATGCTACGCTGCTCGAAGGGGGAGAGGTTTCGGAGAAGAGTGGTGTACGCGAGAAGAGATTCGTGGTAGTATTGATGCTTCTCCTGGATGGTTCCTTCCGATGGGAACAGTAAGCTTCCGTCGTAATACATCCAGATTTGAGCAGTTGTTGCGAGGAGTTTGAATCTGAAGCTCCACGTGTAGAAATCTTTGCCGTCGAATTGAGTTGAGGTCTTCAGCTTTGAAGTCAAAACGAATTTTGTCTGCAGGGTCGCGATTGTTTCTGACTGTACTCGTTGTCGACTGTCTTGTGCAGGAGCTGAAGTTTGACGGTTGTCAAAGGTGAAAGACCTCTCGGAGTTGACGCGGCAGTCTTCTCCAGGGAGAGGGAGTCCAGCAACTCCTCTTGCGTAACTTGAGCCATCGATGCTCATAGCTTGATGGCTCTCAAGAGTGTTGATGCGGGCGACAAGCTGGTCAACAAGAGCGGTGCTGACAGAGGTCACCGCTGATGGCGCAGTAGGCATTGCTGGTGGTGGGCCTGGAGAATCTGCAGTGGCTTTTCCCTCGGGAGCCATTGCGATGCAGAGTTGTAGTAGTTTGTAATGAGTAATTTATAACGAGTTTATTTCAGGAAGAACAAGAACTTGACAGGCCTTATAATCCACTCTGGCTCTCATACCATGTTGTTATAACTGAAGGATTGTAGTGTCAAAATATTATAGTGCTTACTTTGTGTAGGCTATAGTGGGGTAGCCCATAAGGGGTACAGCCTGATTAGGGTTAGTACTTGTACCCAACTCTTTCATAGTTCATTCATTCTCGTTCTAGATTCTAACATGGTTTCAGAGCAGGTCCTTCCCTAGGTCCGAAATTTTTTTTAGGGCCCACCACATAGCTGCCCCACTAGCTGCCCTGCAGCCCTGCCCTAACGGCCCGCCGCCCTGCTAGTCTATGTGCCGCCCCTAGCAGCCTGTCGCGCTGCCCTTAGCAGCCCGCGAGCCGCCCCTGCAGCCAGCGCGCTGCCCCTGCAGCCCACTCGCCGCCATTGCCGCCTGCTCGCTGCCTGCTTGTGGCCCGCGCGCCGCCCCTGCAGCCAGCTCGCCGCCCACTTGTGACCCGTTCGCCGCCCTTCGGCCCGCTCGCCGCCCTTGCGGCTTGCTCGCCGCCCCTGCAGCCCGCTCGCCGCTCGCTTGCGGCCCACGCGCCGCCCCTGCAGCCCGCTAGCTGCCCGCCTGTGGCCCGCTCGCCGCCCTTCGGCCCGCTCGCCGCCCTTGCGGCCCGCTCGCCGCCCTTGCGGCCCGCTAGCCGCCCTTGCCGCCCGCTTGCCGCCCACTTGCGGCCCGCTCGCCGCCCCTGCAGCCTACTCGCCGCCCGCTTCCGACCCGCTCACCGCCCCATGCAGCCCATGCGCTGCCCTCTTGCAGCCTGCGCGCTACCCCTTCCAGCCCGCTCGCCGCCCCTTGCGGCCCGCACGCCGCCCCTTGCAGCCTGCTCGCCGCCCCTTGCGGCCCGCTCGCCGCCCCTTGCAGCCTGCTCGCCGCCCTC